GGGGTGGATGCAAACCATCAGTGCACAGAACAGCAAGCTGTGTAGGCTCAACTAGAGGAAACACTAAGGTTATCAGAAGAGTGGAGATGGTTCTGTCCACTTTGGATCCACACTGAACACTGCTGCTTTTGTCCACTCCATCAGGTTCAAGTCCATGACATCCTTGTAAGACCCATGAAGACTTTTGTTTTCTATTTGAGTGGCTCAAAGGCGAGGTGTGGGCTCAATTCCCTCCTCAGCTTGGAGAGATTCAGCCCACCATCTCTTACTGCCTGGAGGAACACTTGAAAAATCAGGCTCCTCATTTGTGTAAGACAATAGCCTGCCCCGCTCTTGCTGAAGCTATGCCACTGGAAAAATAAAAGGATTAAATGCTTAAGTTCATTAAGAAAAATGGAAGAGGTAAAATAGGTCATGGGAAGTCTCAGTCTTGGTCTTTGCTCCCTGGAGCACGTATGTGGCATACCCAGTGGCTGGTTATTGTAAAATGAGGCTCCCAGGTGGCCTCTCTCATGATGACAGGGCTGTGGCACTCTCTCAAGAGGTGGTGGAGCTGCAGGGGCAACTGAGCTTAGAGCTCCAGTCTTGTGGAGATCTTCAGCTGGAAGTGCACAGGTTGCAATCATCCCAGGCAGACAACAAAATGGCCCAGGACTAGTAGCAAAATTGCTTTCCACTTCCCTCTCCTGCCCCCTTCCCATGCTTCCAGACACACCACACACATTCTCCATTAATCCAAATCTGCGCCAGCATTAGGTGGCTCCTGCTGCTCCAGGGGTGGCCAAGCCACCTCCCTAAACCTCCTGGTAGTGACCTGGCCTTTCAGCTGTCACTCCTGCAACATGTCTCAAAGCAGGCTAGGAAAGCAGCAGCACCTCCTTGCTTTTAGCTCTTTATCCACATTTATAAAAACACAGTCCAGAGCATGTCACCAGCATTCTCCCATGAGTAAGTATCTAAGTAGATGGTCTCTCTGGAAAAGGGGGACACCAGATAGCTCAAGGGATGGAAAGAACAGAGAGAAGGGGAGACACAGAAAATTATGGGTCTGCAACAGCCAGCAAAAGCAGTATGGACTGTACAGACAGCAAGTCCACCCAGCTCTCTTGCCCAGAAGGTTGCACTTCAGACAATAAACCAGGACGTCTGCCAGGGTAACTGTAGCCTCAGTGGCTTCGGTGAGTCCTTAGGACTCCCTGAAGCTGGGAAGGAACTCCTGCTTCTCTGAATCACAGCTTAGGTGAGGAGCCCTTCCAGCAGGCTATCACATAGAGCAGGACTCTGCTATCTCATCTGGGTAGTCTTTGAACAAAAATCGACTACCCTTCTGCAGCAAGCCAGCGTTCCGTTCTCAACCTCCCACTTCTACTTCTTCCAGCATTATTTCAGTCTGGGAATTGGATCCTGCTAGTGTGCATTAGGCAGAGTATGAGCAGAGCCACCCTTTCAAATCCTTCAAAGACACTTGAAAAAGCACATGTATCCTGATCAGTTTAGGAAGCAGAGGACACTTGGCCCAAGGAAGAGCTGTTTAAACTCATATTATGTGAATTCTAGGTATGCAGAAAAGCCAAGCACAGTTTTCCCAGGCACCTTTGGAGGCACTTCTTCACACCATGAGATGAGGTGACACTGGTGTCTGACAGTAGCTTAGTGCAGTTTAATCACACTTTGGAGTGAGGCGTTCTGGTGCAACCTCACCCTTGCCACTACACAAGTCCTCAGGCAAATCAAGTTACTATGTTCAGATTTGGCCAACAAAATGAGGAACTCTGTAAAGTGAAATTATGTTGAAATAAACAGCATCTTAGCCTAGCAGTCCAATTTTCTGAACGGCCCTTCTAGGCAATACTCAGCTCTGGAAGCATTGCCTCTTTCCTCCTGATTCCCTGTTTCTTCTTGTAGCTGAAGCCATACTTTTCTATTCAGTATTTTCTCAGTTTAATTACATCTGCAACTGTCAAGGAACTTCATTTACCAATGAGGTTGACTTCAACAAATGGTAAATTTGAAGTATAAACAATACATTTTAAGGATACCCAGACAGCTCCAGCAGCACAGCTAGAAACAAAGTAACTGCTGCTCTCCTCTGTAGCACTTTGTTCAGGTCAGGAAAGCAATACAAGTTTCTGGGAAGTTTGGCCATACACAGTTTGGCTGTGCATGTATAGGAAGGCTTTTCAGCAGCTGCGAAGAAAGTCTGGCCCATTATCAAGCTTTCTCCTTACAGTACATAAGGTTGAGGAACAGTGCTTCCCACTGTAAGGGAATTTAAACCAAAAATCAGAGATGACTGTCAAGTGTCCACAACGAATCTGCACTGAGAGTCCAGTCCCATCACACCTCCTCACTAATTCTTCACACAGCTTCCACCAGGTTTTAAGGTGTTGGAGGAAAGTGCTCTTCCTCCTCAACCCAGATATCTGCATGTTTCATCCCAGCACTGCTAAGCATGAAAGAGCCTTCCCAGCTTCTCATCATCCAGCTCTGCTCATCTCCCATCATCTTCTCAGCCTGGTCACTGCCTAGGATGCACACTGCTGCTTTCAACCAGGACATTATACATTTCATTATACATCAGCAATGGTTTTACTGCCTCTCCCACTCACTCTGCCAGCACCCCCTGTTTTCATTCTTTGATGGAGGCTCAGAGTAGCCCCACAGCAGCCATTAGACAGACAAAAGCTTCAGACCTACAGATGCGACTACTAGACATGTAGACGTGTGTTAAATTAGGAATGACAGCTCTGAAGTCACACAGCACAATCTGCAATAAGCAACTAGCATTTCACACAGTGGACCAGCTCCAAGTTAGCTATAATATTGTGCTCATTGCTTGTAAAGAAGCTAATGCCAGGATGAGTTACCAGAAAAATTTCTTCTCATTTAGTCTGTTATCTCACTTTTGCAAACATCTGTGGACTCTGATTTGTACTACATTATCTTTTGGGATTATGTGCTCTCTTTTTTTGGTAAACTATTTGCCTTAGCATGGTAAATGGATTCTTTTAGCAGACCCAACAATCTACAGTTCACATTCACAGGTATAAGCAATGTTGAATTACTGCATGAATAAAGGCACTTTGAGAAATACCATCATCTTGATTGTACTGAACTCTCAAGAAGCATTTCTGACAAAGGTTTGACCTACCATGCAAGTCAACTTGATGTCTACCAGGAACAATCACACAGATTACAAAAGTTGGCAAAGCTAGAAAAGGAGAGAATAGGGCCAGGTTAGGTCAGAGCAGCAGCTTGCTCCTATCAAATGGTGCTAATCTCGAGCAGGATCAGATATATCAGAACAAAGAGAGGGCCAGTCCCTCTGCATGATGCCTGATTTTCCACCTATTTCTAGGTTGTGTTCACACTCCACACTGAAATTCATAGAGCCAAGACGTCAGTGCTGGGACTGATTGGTTGCAGAGACATGTCCCAACAACCTTAAAACCTTTGCCATAAATAACAGATTTCTGACTGCAAGCTCATGTTTGAGGAATATATAAGTATTTTAGAAATAATGGAAATGTATCAGAGTGTTGAGTCTGCCGCATAGTAGAGAAAACAAAAATACCCTGCTACTGTAAATGAGGGATAGAGCTTTATAGATGTTTGTTTGTCTTGGTTTATGACCAAACAAATGACATTTTCTAAATAAATAAGTTAGCTCATATAAGTTATCCATTCTTAAACAGTGATAAGGACAAAGGGGAATCAAGGCAAGATTGGCCTAAAATACATGATAACTTCACACAGCTCAGTCTTGTCTGCAGAAAGAGACAGCTGGCAGCAAAGTCTTCTTTGCTGGAGGTTAATAGCCTGGATGCCAAATGTGTAACACAATGTGGCTGCAAATAGAGAGTCATGAAAACAGGCACAGGAGAGTATTTCATACTGGAAGGCAAGATCAGTATGTCAGAGACATCTACAGGCAAACTGTCTTGCTTTAGTAATACTTATTGTGTTACAACTGAAGCCTCAAAATCTAAGGGGCTGTGATCATAATGCTGCCAAGGCCAGCAATGGGTGTTGACTTTAGTCTGTGCTAAGCACATCCAGGCAGATGGCAGCAGCAAAGCCCTGGGGGCCACAGACCCCTGCCCCAGCAATGCCACCATGGGGCCAGTCTCCAGCTCCCCACGGCTCTGCCCTACTGGGGAGGTGCCCAGTGTACAGGGCTGGGGCTGCGGACATTTTTTGGTTTTAGGAAGACATATGCCAACATATCACATCTTTCCACTCCAGAACACAGAGCAATATGAATTTTCAATTGCTGTTACACCCTCTCCTCCCCTTCCTCTCCAGCACTGGAACCACTGAAAAAAAATATAAAATGTAGCTGTAACAGCACTAGGACCAAAGCAGATTTTGCTTGTTTAAGTTTTATTCATGTGTAGTGGTGCAGTATCAGTTTTAGCAATCCCAACAAATGCTCCAATGGGTATCATTTTGGTGAATCTTCTTTTGCCAAATCAGTGCAACTGCCTGTGGCTGTTTCATCTGAAACAGCTGCCAAGGCTGACAAGAGGTGGCTGTGCAAGAGGCAGTAGATGTCTAGTGCTGGTGCACATCTGTGGTGGAGGAAGGGAACTGTGCTATGCCTTTGCATTGGCTGCTATCTGGGTTTTGTAGTGTGAATAGATGCAGCTCCAGCTGCTCCCACAACCAAGGGGCAGAGATGTCAGATGCTAAAAGCAGCATCTGACCTAAGGCATGGACATTAAATGCTGAGACCCAAAAGAAGAATAGAAAAATATCCATCAATAATGAACTTAAGGGAAAAAGCAGGTTTGAGTGATGATGTAAGGAGCAGGAAATTGTGTGCAAGGAACAGTAGTGAAAATTAGTGGTCACACAGGCAACAGTCAAATTTCCCTTTATATAAGCTGGTTGGAGCAAGATAATTCAAAGAGAATTTCCTTGGTACTAAGGAAACAAAGTTAAGTAGAATCCAAACCATGGAAAATGATGAGGAAAAAGAAAGCTGAAGGAAATGAGGTGGAAACTAGCAAACAAGAAGAAAAAAAGGATAGCCAGACCAGGCAGAACTGGGAGTAGTTTCCCCCACTCGTAACTGCTGTTTTGTCAGACTGGCACTGTTCAGCATTTTTTTCTTCCTGATCTTTTGCAAATCTGAGTGCTGAGTTTTTCTGCTTTATCCTGAGAGCTGCGCTGTCCATCAGTTACTCAGGAAATATTGTTTCTTGGTTATAAACATATAGATATTGAACCAAACTATATCATTTGGGACAAAGATCACTGCAAAGTCCCTAAAACCTGGAGGGGGGCAAACACAGCATGCATTTAGGTCCAAAGTTTCAGTAAAAGCCCTACTTCACACAGTATTGAAGATCATTACATTAACATTTTAGTTAAGACAGAATAGATGCTATTATGACTCAGTAGTAATCATTCCTGTGAACAGCTTTTGCAAATCCCACTCTGTCATTCCCACGGTCAAAAATGCAGTAAAATGCAGACATGAAGACATCTCCTAAAATCCATAGTGGGCCAGTGCGAGTGGGGATGTCGAGAGACTGAAAGCCACTCATGCAGAAGGTTTGGTCGTCAATAGACTCCTGAAAGGGAAAGCATGTGTCCTTGCAGCAGCCTGCTCCAGCCCCAGCTCGGGAAGCAAGGAATAGGGAGCAGGAGGCTGCAGATACACACCTTTAGGATGTATTGTTCTGCTGTCAGCTTGTACTCATGGTGTCCGATCGTGAAGCTTATGTGAGGCAGGCTTGACAATCTTCTGCAGTCTACAAGAAACTGTATGCGATGCACTGATTGAGATGAGATCAGTTTGTCTTTTTTTAATTATTGCCCTTCGAATTCAAGAGTTTTGCAGCAGGTAATGGTGAATTTACTACGGAGAAACAGCATCAGACTGACTTATAGCCCAAGACTGCCCTCCGGCTTTCCAGTTCCTGTACTTGGTCAATCCAGCCTAGCAGTCCAAACCACTGCACCAAAGCCCCTAGGGACCCAGGGCTGATGAAAATCCTTGCAATCCCAAAGGGAAGGAAGTGAAGGGGGACTCTGATGTCCTGCCTGTACAACTCAGAAAGAAAACTGAGTGTGTGATCCCCAGCAAGTCTACATTAGCAAGGTCTGCTGAGCAAAAGTCCACCAACACTCTGGCCTTGGCCGGACGGAGGGAGCTGCCTCCAGCCACGCGGGAAGCACCCTATGGCTGCAGCTCACCACATGTCCTCCTGTAACACCATCATTTTAGGGAAAAAATAAGCTAGGGAGGAATAGAGAACTTTATACTTATACTCTGCCTTAGAGTGGAATTTAAAGAGCAGAAAGACTAATTTCCATAAATAATACATTCACTTACAGTAACACAGAAGATAATTTCCTGGCCTTTCTAGTTATTTCATGAAACAACTGGTGTGTTAAATGGTCCTGCAGAATGCTCCAAGTCTCAAAGGGATCATTGTTATAAGCTGTAGTGTTTAAAGTCATTGTTTTAGAGGCTTCCTTGAAGGAAAAATCTGCTCTTTGCTGTTTTTCAATCTGCTTTATGAAACCATAACCCTTAATCTTGTGTACACTTACCAGGTGTCATACCATTAGAACAAAATAAACCATGGGATACAGAGGACAAGGGTAAAAAATGCCAGTATAATGGTTTGCAGGATACAAGAAGCAAGGCGTAATTCTTTTACATACAGAAAAAATTACAGGAAAGAGATGAAAGTTCTCATAAAATCACTGATGGATACACTCATTTTTACTGGGATAAATTTGAGCCAATTTACTCTGTCTGTGATTGCTAAAAGATCAGTCATGGAAAGTCTTATTTTCAGGATACTTTTTTTGCAGAATCTGAGATGCCAGCTGTGTTCTTATGCCAGCACTGGAGTATATAAACTTATACTGCAATGACCTGTTCCTTGTTTATATTATGCTAGTATAAGTACATTGGAAATACATATTTTATCTATATTCATTATGTGTGTACCAATATAAAAACAACTTGCTATCAAAGCATACTCTTTGGCATATGTCTGAAAATTTGAACAAAATCAAAATTAAAGGTTTAATTGAGAAAGAATCAGGAGCTTCAGGAATCACACATATGTCACTGGAGTCCTCCTATTAAAAAGCGAGGTGGATTAAGAGTCCACTTTCATCTTTGCTCTTTGCCCAGTGCACTGGGCAACTGTAATACTCTTCATTTTCTTCCGAGAGCATTTTTGGGTCAGGATAAAGACAAATGCAAAGTTAACAGAACCCATATGGGGCAGCTTTACTTGGGGCACTGGCGCTGTGGCAACGTGTTAGCGATCTATGGGAGTCAGCCAAGGGCCAGCAATAAGGCACAGTAGAAGTAAGTTGCCCTTTCCCCGGAGGCAGGGATAGGAAAGAGTGGTGGGGAGAGTCAACAAGGGGGATGCAGGAGAGAGCAGTAGGTAAAGAGGAAGACAGCAAGGGGTAAGAGGAATAAGGTTCAGGAGGAAGAATAAGAGACAGGAAGTCTTGTCCTGCACCCTGTGACTCATCTGCCAGGAGCCACTGTTGTGAGTGACAGTGACACGCACTCCTCCCAGGAGCCCTGCACGACACCACCTGCTCCATGGCAAGGTGACAATGAGAAGTCTTGCCAGTGAAGCCACAGTTGGGCTGTCGTTAAAATACCATTCCCTTTCCATCTGATGCTGAAGTGGCTGGCCATCAGCACCAACCCCCTCCTGTCTTGGGAGAGCCAACAGCTATAACTGGAGACATTGAAAATCTTCTGATCTTCCAAAAGAAAATTATCTCTCATGCAGAGTACAGATCAATTCCTCAAACAAATGTACTCCCTATTTCCTTACATACCAGTTCTGAGTATGGTAGAAGAGGTGACTGTTTGGGAGGAGGCCTGGGGCAGTAATGCAGATAGGTCAAAAACAGATTGGCTCTGAGTTCAGTGCTATTCTGGAAACAAGGCTTTTGTTGAGACCTTTCTAACCAATTATTTTGATTATTTTCTCACCCTATAAGCTCTTTGCACCAAATACCAGTTTCCCTTCCCATCTGGCTGTTTTCTGTCTGTACAGTTTTTACCTCTCCAGTATTTGATGGACTTGCCCCGATATACTCCTGTAATCGCCTGATTTGTGAAGAGGGTCCAGTGATAAGAGAAGTGCCTGAGTCAACGATGGCTTCACAGCCATGGGAGCAAAATGCCACCCGGCCCTGGATCTTTATACTGCAAATGAAAAACAAAGCATCTTTAAGCAAATGGCATATGCACTGTGACTGAAACATCATGTTATTGCTAGCTAAAGTACCAGAGTACAGACTGAAGTTACTCCAAGGTAAAAGTGACAGGGCAAGAGGAAATGGCCTGAAGTTGCACCAAGGTAGGTTTAGATTGGATATTAGGAAAAACTTCACAGAAAGGGTTGTAAAGCATTGAAACAGGCTGCTCAGTGAAGTGGTAGAGTCACCATTCCTGAAAGTGTTCAAAAGACATGTGGATATGGCACTTGAGGACATGGTTTAGTGTTGCACATGGTGATGGTGCTGGGTTGACAGTTGGACTTGATAATCTTTGAGGTCTTTTCCAACCTTAACGATTAAAACTAGCTGCCAAGCTTTGCTAAAGATAAGAATGTCTGTGGATCCACTTTTCTCTCTTGGGACTCCTAATCACTAATCATTTGCTGCCTGCCGACGAATTTGTCCTCACCCACAGACATGTATTCTCATCAATTTAGGCAGCATGCTAGAGGAAGAACAAAGGAACACTGACTGCTTGGACCAAAGTTAGCAGGAAAGATGAGAGCAGGACCCAGAGCTGGATTCAGTTTGTGGGTGCCTTAACCTCTTAACAGTTGAAATATACTAATATGTTCTCTCAGAAACCAGCCACCCATGTCACAGCAGATTTAGAGAGCTAACAAACCCCAATCTCATCCTATTGTACCCCCTCTTCGAGAGGCACAAGGGTAAAACCCTGCAGCTGAGTCCTCTGCATCTGCATCACTAGGTGTTTCTATCTCTGCAGGTTTTACATGGGGAGGCAGATTTCACCAGGTTTTTCATACATACATACATACATACACATATACATACTTGTTCACATGTATTTGCCAGTAGCTTTTCTCAGTGACTGGGACCCAGTGGATTGAACCTTTGTAGAGAGAATGGTCTATCCCCCCCAGAATCAGCTCACCACCATTCTCAGTGTCATCTCCTCTGAAAGCAGAAGACAAGGTAACACAGACATGGGAGTGTGCCAGCATGCATGAGATTGCTCTTAAAAAGCAAAAGACAAATCACATTCCTTTCTAAATTCAGATATGGATGGCTGAAAGGGATTATTCCTAAATTATCAGTGCATATGTCCCAAACAACATCTGAGAAGACTGAGAAGACGTCTGAGTAGGCTGCCAAGGTAGGTATCAGGAGCAGGTTGAGACAGTTGCTACTCTCACCTCAAAATAAACACTAGAGAAATTGGCAGAGTTGTGGCTAGGTCCAGAGTAGGGAACAACTTTTTTCTGGAATGTGACTACTTGGGTGTAGGACAGCATTGCTGTTCATCTTCATGGGCCAGAAGGAAACCTCTGGCAATAGACATGGTGAGTCTGAGCTGGGAGTTTTTCTTTTCTTTGAGACCAGCTCAACAAGAATAAATCTATCCAAAAAGTCATGGTCATCCCCATAACAGTTTTTCTTTTTATGCTATATTTTTCAGTGTCAAATTGGGAAAAAAACCCCAACATCAAGAACCAAAAAAATGGGGGAATTTACTTTCTGGAGTTGAAGCTTTATACAGAGGCACAGTTGTTTCTATCAACAATTAAAATAAATTTACTTCTTTTTTGGCAGTGCCATTTTAAAGACTGACCTTTTCAGATAGAAAGAGAAGACTGGTTCCTCTACCAAGCGCTGGTTCATGATGCTGTCAAACACAGGCAGAGCATTGCCCACTGCTAAGGAGGGGTAGCCTAAGCCCAGCACGCCATCAAAATGGGCAAGGACAAAAGTTGTTCCTGGCTCAAACACTGACTCGCCAAAGTCCTGTCCCTTGATGGAGATGTTACTTATCTGTTTGGTTCAAAAGAAAATAAATAAATAAATAAATAAGAACTTTGAAAGTAATGACACCATCAATTACAAGAAATTAGCCACATTTCAGATCCATATAAATGGATTCATTCAGTTTATAAAACCTGGATATCCTTGTGTGACTTGCATCAATATAACAGGTGCCCATTTGGCGGGTAGGCTGCACCAATTCCTTAGAATGCCTTACTTTTGAGGCTGTTTGTTCATTAACCCAGACAGACAAAGACCCAAGAAGACAAGTAGAAATGAAAATAAAATCTTAGGGATTTGTCTTGATAGCCCAAAGCTGGAGCAGCACCTACACCCTCAGTACATGGCTAGGTGGGACCTCACCCTACCCTTGCCTAAACTAGTCAAAGTTTTCCAGAGCAAGGCCAGTATCTGAGCTGCCTGAAAACAGTTGACCTGGAGGCTGACACCCATTTTAGGTGGATGCTCACCTGCAGCGTGTCTTTGCCAGCAATGCCCAGAAGCTGTCCCGAGCCGTACTGCAAGGAGAAGGCTTCCCCTCCGTGCTCATATGAATCCGACTTGAAGGACTTAAATTTCTGGTGCACCCCTACATGAAACAAATTATATCTTTGCACTGAGGGAAGGTCCCAGCAATGCACCTGCTCCCCAGTGCAGAACCAGATGAGATTTTTGCTTCTCTTATGAGAAAAGTATCTATAGAAATACTGCAGGCACCTCAGTTCCCCTGCAGGGCACACCAGTTTTTTTGTACCTGAGAGGTTATTTTGCATTTTAAAGACAAATTAAAACAAAAATAGGCATTTCCACCAGTTCTGGCAGCTCTCCCAGGTCTATTTTCATGCCTGTTACATCAGGCACCTTGTGGTCTGGAAGGACAGCTGGCAGCTGCAGCTGGCACCTGTCGTGGCTGCAGGATGACATGAGGGGCAGAGGCAGAGGAGAAAACTGGGGAGAGGAGACCAGCCCTAAGGGATGCTCCAAATCCTTCCCTTCCAAACCTCTGCTGCAGGCAAGCTCCTTGGGAAAAGAGAAGTGGTCAAAGTATCCAAGACATGAGGAGCACGAGGGAGAATAATGTTTCTTACTGCACGCCTCGCTGATGCAATAAGCAGAAGGGACCCAAAAATTGGAGGAGCCGGTGTCAAACACGACGGTGAACCTCTGTGGGGGCGTGCCGACATTCACCACTCCGTAGTACTGCGCCTGGGGGAGGAACAGCCCCGTCAGCTCCCAGCTGCCTCCACGGAGCTATTCCTGGGGAAGAAGCACACTTGGGAGCATCACACAATGCTTTCTCAGGGGGGTCTGTGCAATTTCATTTAAATGTAAATGCACACCACAGGCAAGTGTGTCTGGTTCCATGAGTGGCTTCAGGCAGCAGATTTCACTCCAGCTGAATGCACAACGGTGAGGCATTTTTAAAGCCTTTTAAGCAAATATTCAGTTGAGTCAACAAACCCTCTTGCAGCAGTTTCAGAGGTGGCAAGGTCATCCCCAAGACAAGCTCTCACATGACCATACAGTCTTTCAGGTTGTTCCTTACTGATGTCAGTAAGAAATCAGTGTTGCAAAGTCAGCACAATCTGACTCTGCTGGCTTCAGAGGGCTCTGACCGGTGGCACAAACAATCATATGTGACTAGCCTTTTTCCCTTGTAATTAGCATAGCTAGTCAAAAAAGTATTGTGTTGCACAAACTGTTCCTAATGTACTGAACAAAGTTCATCCAGCGGATGAAGAAACCACTGACCATCCCTGGATACCAATTGAGACTGAGATAATCTGTGAACACGTGAATGATGGAGTGCAGTGCTTATCCACATCCCGTATACAAGTGTTTAAGTGCTCCTATCTGGCCCTGGAAGAGCACTTCAGCATTAAGAGATCTATTTTTAGGAAGAGGCATTTCTGGAATTCAACCACAGATAGAAAAGCAATAGCTAGTGCCAAGCTTTGTGCAGCAATACAAATATTTGAATATGTACCTTCAAGTGCATACACTGAAGTTTCTGACCCTGCAGTTTATGATCTGAATGAGATAATCTTGAAAAGGCAAGCAAGCATGCCATTTAAGGGAATATCCAGTTATATAGCAGAATTTTATTCCCTCTTGTATTAAACCTTTATCAATGAATCTGTAAATTGAGGCAGCTCTAAGGGATGTTCATAAAAAAACCAAACAACAACAACAACCAACCAACCAAAATATCAACCAGAAAAACCACAAATACACTGCAATAAAACCTCCACGAAACTGTTCCTGGTGCTACATGGGTATGCTAGGGAAGGGGGTTTTGATTAATCATTTTGAGATTTATCCCTCTTTGAAATAAGCTTTAAAGCAGACTGAAATGTTTGTTCTTCTTCACATAGGTATTTCTTTAAGGCCCTCAAGTGTCAGTTCTTGCTGAACGAATCTGGCCTTCCCTTCCCTTCTGTTCTCTATTCAGATGCAGCCTTTACAACATTTCTGCAACTTAGTTTTCCTTTAGATAAGCACAACACAAGAACCAAGTAAAACAGAAAACAGAGACTATTCAAATGGGTAAAATGCTAAACCCAGGAAAGATACCTTACAAAATGGTTGACCTGCTGACTTGCCTGCCTGAGATCCAATGAATCTCATGTATTTTCTTTTTAAGTTTAGATGGTAAATTCAACCAGGTTAGTATGAGGCCCAGGTCAGTCTCCAGTATTTAATACACACTAAACTCCAGAGATAAAAGCCAAAAATAAAAACCTCTACTTAGATTTATTATCACTGACTCCACATGATCAAATAAATGAGTTTGGGGGATATTTTTTTTTATAACACACAAACATCCTAGTTTCTGATAAATAGAATACCACTAAGTGAAGAAATCAGGTTCTGCTACCAAAAACCTGATAGTTCACCAAGACTGATACAGGCAAACCCATTATTTCTCTGGGGACCCAACCAAGCTGAATACAGATCTATACAAAAATAAAACTTATCACAGGACTATCACTGCTAGACTACATCAGCTTTCTACCCAGGTCACAAGCTAACCTAGATCTAGATGTGCTTTGTTTTGCAGACTGGTAAACCGATTTTTTATAATCTAATATTTATAGCATAGAGCAACAAGACATCTCAAGCCCTATAATTTCATTGAGAGACTAGATTTGAAATGTGCTGGGAAAAAATCTGCCTTCAGTAGAACAATGAGTCCTAATGATTGCATTACCAAAACTGTACTTACATTCATGTAATCATACAGCCTTTCTGAAGCAGTTCCTACTGATAAAGCAATATCTGCAGGGAAGCAATGCAAATATCTTCGGGCAAAAACATCAGGGTGGTGGTTCCTCCAAAAGTCCTCTAATTCTCCCTTTTCTTTCAGCTGTTTCTTGATAGATTTGAATCGAATCAGGGGGATTCTAAGCAAATAAAATAAACACACAAAAAATAACTGGTTCTTCATTCTAGAACTCTCATACACTCTTTTCTTTAAAAAATGTTTCTTTTTTGAGACGAGTAGCAATAGGCACAGGTCACCCTGGGAAGCCAGCGGACACATAATGCCAGATGTGTTTTCTTACCGTTCCATGGCCAGGATGAATGGGATGTAAACCACAGCCAACAGTATCACTCTCATGGTTCCAAGTGGCTCAGAGTCTGACATTCCTTTGCTCAGAAGTCCCTTTTTTATGGCCTGTTGTCAGCAGAGGGCCACTCGCCAGGTCAATCAATCGCAGGAGGTCAGTGCTTTGGCAGAAAACCGATTAATTTACCCTCAGATTAACCACTGGATTGTGCAAATAGTGATGCCCAGTGGAACTACTCAGGCACAGATAACCAGGGCACAGTCTAGACCAAACAGACATTTTCATAACAATCCTTAATGTCTTTTACATAAATATGATATATGGGGTGAGCCTGGCTCCTCTTAGCATGGGAAAGAGGAAGCAGTCCAAGGACTTCATGTTTTTCAAGCTTGCTTTAGTGAGAAATCCCTCAGAAGTGTTCAACATGGACAAAGAGGACATAACATATAACCATTTCCCTTTTGCATGGAGACATTTCAGCAGGGCTGAGCAGACAGACGTTTGATGGGCTTGTGACAAGTCACCCCCTAACAGCTCATGTTTAATTCCCTATTTATGGGAGAACTCCAGTCTAAACATAAATTTGACTGCCACCCCAGAAAATGGGTCTTCAAAGTAAAAAACACAGCAGCCTGCAACATACAGTAATAAACAGCTAGAAGCTTTGCACACCTTTCAGTAAGACATTTGGAAGGGTTCGCTTTGATTTATTTTCCTGGGAGTTTCTTGAGGTTAGTGGCTCCCACCCCTGCTTGACACTTGGGTTCAAGTCAAGCCTTCAAAAAAATAACGGTGTCAAAAAGAGACTCTGAGCTGGCAGACTGCAACCCCAAACCTATTAGCTGCCTGGGAGGAAGCTCAACACTGAGTCTGCAATTTACTTCCAAGACTTTTTGAATCTTTCCTCTGCACAAGAAAGTGTGGTGAGCAACTGCATACTGCAGCCTAGCATACATTAAAGCCAAATTTGAATAAACAGTCATTTTTGTTCAAAGTACTATGGTAGGAGGCTGGGAAAAGACCAACAATATTCTTTCCCCTGCAACACACCATTTATTAAAAATAAACTACTCACCATGTGAAGGTGAACTGGAACTAGATAATCCTCCCAAAAGAGAGCAGATGCGCGACAGCAAGGAGCTAAGAGTGAATATCAAGGATATGGAGGAGGCAGGTGTCATCATCTAGCAACAATGCTCCAGTCAAGAAAAAACAGCAGAAAAAACAAAACACATGGTGTTTGTGAGAAAAGACAGGGTCTAAATGCCTGTCACAGACTTTAAAGAAATGCAATGCAAACGATTATCAGAATATCCTAAAGAAATTCTTAAAAATTGTTCTTTTTAATCTCTTCCCTTGTTATGTCAGACTAATTAAGAATGGGCATGAGAACCTTAAAATCAGTAAGTTTAGAGCTCTATTCATTAGTCCCCTGGATTTTGAAATACATAGTTTGCTTTTTCTAATGTACCTCCAAAATTGTGAGGGCTAAACAAACTCAGCAAAGGCTGAGCATGGTGTCATCACACAGCTGTGTGCAGAGCTCTGGATCTGAAAAAGCACCAGCATCTCTATTACCATATTTTGTTTCAAAAAATAATAGAATCTCAAAAATGCATATTGATTTCTACTTTATTGTGATTTTGTGTTCAATTATCTAGCTCTGAGTAATGTTACCCATTTCTTCTGGACTCGGGGGTTTTACACAAGTTATCAGTGAACATCCACATTTTCTGTCCCACAGTCATCCCAATCACTGAGCTGCAGGAGCTGGATGCTGGAAATGAGACTGGTCAGCAAAGATGTGGCCATTTGTGAACTTCCAGAAAGCAAAGGCATTTCTCAAGGAGACTCCACTGCCACCTGATGCACAGCAAGCCCCGGGGTAGGGCAGTGTCACTTTGACAAGAGTAAGACAATGTCTGTGCTGAACGCCTTTATCACTTGAACTTTTCCTCAAATGCCAAAAATGCTTCTGGGAAGTCATTAATGCTCATGTTGGAGGGCATCATGATAACTTTGAAGACGTGAAGTGGCTTTCAAAACACCACCTGGGCCTACTGAGAAGACTGCCTTTGCCTTAGAGGCTCCACTGAGTTCTTGATTCTCAGAAAGAACATGATTGTTCAGTTTACTGCAAATGTAGCCCTTTATTAATCCACATATGAAGGTTATTCTTTCCCAAATCCTCTGATTTCACAGTATGTTCCAAACAGACATTCATTTAGCTAACAGAGGTACAAAATACAGCAACAGAAGGTCATCATGACTTTTTTTTGATAAGCTGGAATAATGATTAAACTACAATCCAGAGGATCCCTAAGAAACAGTTATCTGCAGCTTAAAAGTTCCATTAAGTAGAAATAATTCAAATAGAAAAAATATATCCCCATTTCTGTCTATAGACAGAGTACATTGTGAAGTTATTTGTCTACATATGGATTATTGAGAAAAATATGCCTACGCTATATTATTAATATATTTGTACCTACACTTTCAGGTTGTTCTGATTAGTAGGTTATCTGAAAAGATTTGTCTAAGGGACATGTCTTCACCATGGATGTAAATTCATTATTATTTATGCCAAATGCATTTGGTTTTCCACAACTGTAACCTACAGTGCCTTAGGAGGAGGGACCCTTGCCTTTAGAAGGTGCCACAGTTGCTTAGAAATGAAAACAAATCCAACAACCCACTGAATGAGAATATTTTCTTAAATGTCAGATCACATTCCAGGGTAACTGCTTGGAAAAGGATGCCCTGCAAAATCCAGAAATTACACATTCCCCACGGTGCTCCTCTGACAGGGCACGTGGTGCTAGAGCAGTAAAGAAGGGACTGGTTGGAGATGTTTGTTCAGTGTGAACTGGCCTGTTGCTGCTGGGATGCCATGCACAGCACGTCCTGCCTTCTGTCACCAGAGAGGGAATTTTCAGCACCTCTCTTCCACAGCACCACTACAGATGAATGTGACATTATCTTTGTTCTCCAGGCTTGATTCTCTGCCCAGCTTTTCCATCCATGCCTATTTTATGGCACTCAGGTCTCAGGACTCATTGTTCTCCATCCTGCTGCAATACTGGTTCCCAGACGCCCTCCCTGTTGTTCTCCTCCCTGAGGGAAGCCCTCCATACATTTCATAGCATCACTCCTGCATGGCACAGCCACTCATCTTGCAGGGAAAAGGCTAGTAAACATCCTATAGCCTATATCCAATTGATAGCTATGGCCTGATTTACATTTGAAAACAAGTTATGGTAGAGAGCTCTCTATTAGATTTGACTAGAGATCCAGAGGCCACCTTAACTGTTTGATATTGCCTTTTTCTCAATCTTCTGTTTGCTCTGCCTTTTGTTTTTCCAAGACTGCGTGGCTTTCAGCAGTCACAGATTTTGGTAGTGTAGCACTTATGCCCAGAAAACAACTGCAGACTGAAGAAAATTTTCTCCCATCCAAGGTTCATGGTACAGCCATAGCCAACAGAGAGGTAGGACAATCATAGAATGGTTTGGGTTGGAAGGAATCTTAGAGATCATGTAGTTCCAGCCCCCCTGCCTTGGGCAGGGACACACATGAATCCCCAAGAAAGCCTAAAAGAGCAGCAGCTCAAGAAGTCAAACTATGCAGAGGTTCCTCCACATGGGAATGTTCCTCCTAGAAATCAGAGGTACTCCTGATCTGAATAGCAAAATGGGTCTTGATGAGAGAAGGAGGAGAACAGTTTACACTGTCATGTAACTTTTTAACATTATATTTATCTCACTCATAACAAGTGAAAATCTTGATGGAATTAAATCCATGGGAGTTTCTTGACAAGTTTAGGTACAGACATGGGAACTACAGTAGCACAGCAGAAAGGTATATGGAGAACAGCCTTGGCAGTTTGTGATAGCTCATTAAATAGGGATTGAGACAAAAAGTAAAACATAATGTAATGAAAAAGGCCAAGAGTGCCAGAGCCTATAATAAATACCATTAAATTGGGAACATAAATAGTAGAACAGGTCAAGATAGCAGTTTACCAAGTATCTGTGTTAAAACTTTAAGATAACTACCGGGTGGCAAGTTACACTCTGAAACTATGTGGCACCTTGCAAAATACATCCCTGAAAGTGCCATCTGTCTGGAAAGTCAGTCAGATATTGACTGGTATTTTAAACAATTTGACTGTATCTGACATTTCTGCTGAAAGTCTCATAAAAGTTAAACATTTGAGTTTAAAAATTTGGCTTTCTGTGGAATTTACTTTACCAAGCCAACCCCCACTGCCCTTACTGGCACACAGTGAGAACAAGAGGTAGGAGCTGGGGCATTGGGGTGACTGTTTGGGGCAAAATCAGAGAACACTTACAGTGCGCAAGAAGAGGTAAGAAGGAATGTTTTTGGAGGCAGTGAGTGGGAGTGTGGGCGAGAGAGGGAGACCTGTCTATAATCCCCATCACCAAACACTCATTCGGTTATCAGAAATATTTCAGAGCCCTTGAGATTAACGGCTGGTGCCCTGTAAACAAAGCCTTATATTGGGAAGACAGAGTTACTGGCAGGCTAGTGCACAGCAGGAGAAAACCAAGGTGGGCCCCTGTCCCTCACAGTCCCGGCCATCCCAAAACAAAATCCCAGGATGGGCAACAGTCTGAAAGCCATAGTTGCTTTTGTGCCCTCCAACAAGTGCCAGAAGTACCTCCTAGAAGACCTAGAAGAGATGCCAGTGGATAAAATGGTGGATCTGAGTGGCAGGCAGCTGAGGCGGCTGCCTCTGCACATTTGCTCTTTTCGGGAACTGGTTAAGTTGTACCTGAGTGACAACAACCTGAACCATCTGCCCCCCGAGCTGGAGCAGCTGCAAAACCTGCAGATATTGGCACTGGACTTCAACAACTTCAAAGCTCTGCCCCTAGTTGTGTGCACACTGAAGCAGCTGTGCATTCTCTACCTGGGCAACAACAAGCTCTGCAGCCTGCCCCTTGAGCTGCGGCTCCTGCAGAACCTCAAGACCCTCTGGATCGAGTCCAACTGCCTGCAGTACCTGCCCGAGGTGGTGTGTGAGCTCAGCCTGCTGAAGACCCTGCACGCCGGCTCCAACGCACTGCGCACACTCCCTCCCCAGCTGCAGTGCCTGCAGGAGCTGCGCACCATCTGGCTGTCAGGTAACCTGCTCTCTGAGTTTCCTCCTGTGCTCCTGAACATGCCATTTCTGGAGGTCATCGACGTGGACCGCAATTCCATCCGGTTCTTCCCCAGCCTAGCTCATCTCCCTGGCCTGAAGTTGGTGATCTATGACCACAACCCCTGCAGGAACGCTCCCAAAGTGGCCAAGGGAGTGCGCAGGGTGGGGAGGTGGTCAGAGGAGACTCCTGAGCCCCGCAAGCGGTCCGGGGCAGTGATAGATATCACGCTGGACGAGAAACCCTTGCTACCTCCTGCCGCCAAGACCAAGCCAGAAGCCGAGCCCTGCTGATGCTCAACTTCCCATTCTGGCGAACGTGGCAGCGCACCACACCACCGCCTGACCTCTTCCTCTTCCTTGCGTGCTGGTGTCCAGGCACCACCACACCGCCTGGCTTGTCTTCAGGGGTAGGTACAGCAGCTTGGAGCTGTGTGACAGCAAAACTCCTGTACAGACATGCTCTTTCACACAGCACCCCTAGAGCAGACTTATTCCTCCCTTTCCTCCTCCTCCCATGACGGGACCACTGAGTTCACGGTAGAGGTGAAGACTTACTTTAGATGTTTTCCATGGGTGGATTGCACGGCGCATGTATGGACTTGCTGCTCTTCACCCATGGGCTCATTCTTCTCACTTTCACCTTGCTGGTGTCTGAGCTCAGCTGGAAGCCACTGCTCAAGGTGATCACTCCTGAGAGCCACAGCTCTAAAGCAACAGCAACAGCATTTGTCTCAAATGACTTATCTGAAACGCAGCAACAGCTTGAAGATTCCCATGCCTGCCACATGGGAAGTGGCAGCGGAGCCCTGGCTGCACTATCAAGGAAACTGCACCGCACGTAGGTAACAGGGAGCTCTGCTCTTATCAGTGCTGCCTTCTTCCTGTAAAATTTGCAACTTTGTTACTGTCAAGCAGCATTTCAGATGATGGTGAGGAAAGTAGAGGCTTTGCTGCTAGTTTTTGTATCCAACAACACTGCCTGTAAGGGCAGCTGTACAGGACAAGTTTTCACGCAGTAGCAAAGAAGAAAATCAAAGTCTGACTCAAGTAGCAAAACCACAAGAGCAGCAAAGGTAAACTTGCATAATAAAACCCAGGGCTAGGAGCCTGCCACTGTAGGCCTGCACATCATCTGAAGCTGAGGCAAACTTTACTCAGTTGATTTCAGCCAGGTATTTCTCCAGGTTGCAACTCTGACCAGTTTAGATGCCCTTCAAACTGCACTGAACTAACTTTTCTTTAAAGGAAACTTTGCTTTAATCTAGTAATACAGAAATCTGGCTCAAAATGAAATTTTAAACTTTTGATTCTATTGAATTTAGTGAAAGACAGCTTTTGTAACGAGTGGAGAGCCCTTGGTGGTGCTCTCTTCAAGTTGAACTGCCTCACCAGTGCAGCCTGTAGAAGGGGCAGTTGACTTTCAAGAAAAGGTTTGATTCCATGCCAGTTTGTAACTGTTTAATGTCATCTGCATGCCTGAAAAACTATTTGGAGATATACAGATTCTGCTAGCACTTGCTGTCTTGTTAAAGAAAGTCCAAATGTGGATTTGGCTGGCACCCATATAGTGTGCTACTAGTCAAATTAAATAAAGTATATTAGCAGCTTACCAAGTCAAACCATACCTCTTTGGAATTAACAGAATTCTCTTTCCAACAATTCCTTCCTACAAAAGGAAAGCAGAAGAGTTTGGGGCTTTTTTAACATCCAAGGTCAATGTTTTATTTCCTACAGAACTGACCCAGTACTGTGTTTATCTGAGGGGAGGGGGAGAAAGTGCTTTCACGGGCTTGTCAATGGTCTGTGTTTCTCACAGCTCTCTCCAGACAGTATTGTCACTTCTGGAGAGCTGAAGAGAGTCTGTGTTGAGAGTTCAGGGGAGCATTCTGTAAGTAGATTCCCTTCACTTTAGGAAACCTAAGGGAGAAAAATGTTTGCACACATACTTCCTTATTTCAAATTAATGTTTCTGCTTTGGCAGACTTGCCCTGATGTTTGCCAGGCACTGCATTATGTGTGCAAGGGCCAGAAGAGTCACAACGCCTGGCAAGCACCTCTGGGCTTCCAGAAACAGGGCCTCCACTTGCCTGTGCTTACAGTCATCACAAATCCATGTACAGACTGCTGCAGGCATCACAGACTTCCTTATGATCATGGATAAAGAAATCAGCCCAATTAAGAAACACACTGCCTTTGCAGCAACTACTAGAATAGGAAAAAAAATATAAAGACAGGCTACAGCAGACATGAAAGGGGCGGTGTGTGTGAAGAGAATGCGAAGCAGCCTGAAACATTTTCTGCTAACTGCCCTCTATTATACATGTTTGTAGTCGTCCAGAGCCCTTCAGTTAAACACTCAGACTGTTCGTGCAGAATGTTGCTCTCTCTCCCAAAACGCATCTTGCTCTCAACTCCCCTCAGCAGAACTCCTATCTACATAAAATTTGTGGTGTAAAAAGCTGTAAAATCACCTAGTTGTAGTTTTGATCATTAGCTAAGGTTCCTCTTTTTTTATATAATGAAGAGAAAAAGCTGAAGAGTAATATTCCAGGACCACAAGAAAAAGATACCACCTAACTTCGGAGCCTGTTTCAAGGATCCCAACTCAAAACCTATGCAGCCAAAACTGGAATACACCACTTAACTAAACGCACCAGGTCAACCCAAACCAGCAAGCCACAAGGGTCTAGTCTCTGCCTGAAGCGTCTGAGGACCAAGGACGTGCATTGCTGCTGTCCTAATGGAACTGCCCTTCCTGGTTCTACACAAAGAAACACAACTTCAGTGAATCGGAATTTTTTTTATTTTTGTTTTTTATTTCTGTGTATTTTAAGTGGAACCTGGAGAGGAACAGAAGGAATAGGGTTGTATAAAACCCGTTTTACTTGAAAGTGAATTCTTCCCACAACACATGTAAGTTCCAGTAAGTTAAAACCAACTGAAGACAGTGCCATTGAAGGAGATCTGCTTGTCTCAAGCTTCTGTTCCATAACCTCACGAAAACTACATCATTAAAAAAAAAATTACTAGGTGAGATCTGGTCCACACATCCTCAGGTACCGAAGAAGATTTAACATGGGCGATGGTCTGGTACACGTTTTCTGGGGAGAAAAAGAAAAATCAGAAAATTCCCACCCACGCTGATGTACACCAGCCCCTCCCCACCCACTCCTATTTTTAATCTTTAGCTGGTATTTTGTGTTCAGTGCCAGCTTTATCTCACAGCACAAAAGGCAGTATCACCTCAAAGCTAACACACCACCTGCAATCATGGTAAAAAAACCTGTGATTCAATAAGCAGAGCAAACTACCTGATAGCAGGTGGACATGGGATAATCTGCCCAAGAGCAGCAACTCTTCCCAAACTTTTTAACAAACATGTTTTTGCTTAAGCTGCAGATTCCAGCTCAGAAGTAGCTGAGCATTCCATTACAATTGTTGCCAAAAGAAAAAAAAAAAGCAGCATGATACATTACATTTTGGTCAGCTGGTTTTGCAGATGTTTCAGTGCTATATATGCCAGGAGTAGCTGCTGATCTAAGATTAACTAGGCATTACTCAGGCACACCAACATAAGCTCACTGATGGCTCTAAAGGTCTGGTCATATTGCTAAAGCAATAAAATTATCAAATATGAACATTAGTATGTCAGATGTCAGGTTTCATTTCAAATAAAGCATTTTTAGAACAAGGTTTTTCTGCACTGCTACTCTTCCACAGGAGGAGGTTACTGTATACCACTGTAACTGACCATTCAGATGCTCAGATCATACCTTGGTGCTGCTTTAATGATGTCATCTACACGAAGAATCATTTCTGCTGCTTCAGCTGCACTCAGCAAAACTTGTCTCTTAACTTGGAAACTTTCTGTTACTCCCAGAACTGCCATGTCTCCAATGATACCCTCTTTCATATCTGGAAGAAACACATTAAGAAGTTGTGGGTTTTTTTCTTAACTTGGCATTTTTTTACAGAAATTATAAGAAGGTGAGAGCATAGTAACTTACCTGCTCAAACAAACCATATTGATAGTAAGGGAAGTATTAAATAAAGTCTTTCACCTCAAGGCTCCTGATTTAAGCCTAACGTTGCAATTACACACAAAAAATTAACGATGAAAACTGTATACACTACGAAGAGGAGATAAGATCCTGACAGGACTCTCAGCACTATTTCATTAGGTATATTAACTTCAGAGTTCTTCACTACAACTTTGTGGTGGTTGTTTTCTTTTTGGATTGGGGGGGGGACAGGGAGGAGGATGTGTTTGCTTGTGCTGGGTTTTCAGTTGCATTTAAAACAATGTTTTTCTTTTTAAGCTTCATGTAACTAGACTCAATGTAAGTAAGGAAAATGTTTTTTTTAGAGGTAGAAACCATCCACTTCAAAAACAAAGGTTTTCACTCTACTGTCAAAAGCCTGGTAAAATGATAAAGGATGCCTAAGGTCTGTGCAAAGCAAACAGAAATCAACCTACTCAGTTCTGGCTGAATATATGCGACAGACACATGTGATCAACTGTAATGAGCCTGATCAGCCTGCCAAACAGCAATTCAATCACAGAAATAATACTGAGCCCCTTACCCAGTCCATAAGTAGTCTTCCCTTCACTGTGAGCAGCTCTGAGCTGAGCAACCAAATCAGCACTGTCATAGCCAGCATTATCAGCTATTATTGTTGGGATCTAAGAGGATAAACACAGGTTGTTTTTAATTAACGCAGGGACTGATCCCTACTAAATATGAAACATACTTTGACATTATTAGTTTACAACTGAATTTCAAGAAGAGGCTTCAAAAACATGGCAGATGATCTACTGCAGTGATTAGAAGACAGGGAAAGAAAAAAAAAACAAACTACCTTTCTAAGGATTTTGTATAAGACCCTGTTGTAAGGAAAGTAGCAGAGAGGACAGAAGCATGTTAGCAGATTTGTTGGTTCATTTTACATGGATAGGGAAAAAAAAAAAGAATCTTGTCTTTCATCAAGTTAGACTACAACTGGAGAAATATTTTAATTTTCAGAATATAAGCCTGCTGATAAGCATTAACCACCTGATCATTCCATTCACTGTTTCAGTGACAGCAGTGCAAAGTAATGTCAAGTGTTACCATGCTCTTGAATTTTATTTTCTTGGCAGAAATGTTTTCCTATAGTCTTTCATTTCATAAGAAAGGTTTTCCCTAAAAATTTCCCTAAATTACAGGAAGGCAATTTGTTCTCAAATAGCACAATTCTATAAATATTTCTTATGACACTCTTATTTCCTACTAAGATGCAATCTCTAATGC